CAGGGGAGTTGAGGGGCTGATTTGCGCGTGAAGTGGGTTGAGGGGGTGATTTGCCACCAGTTGTTGAGTTTAGGGGCTGATCTGCACCTTTTGCCTTTTGCGGCTGTCATAGGTGTATATAGGTAAATATAGGCTATACAGCACGACAAATTTACACCGTGTGTACTGGAATCAATTTCCAAAACAATGAAAGCGAAAACTTTGGTACCTATTTTCATTTTCATTCTTTTTCTTTTTCTCCTTTAATTCCACATCATGATTATTTAATTTTCAATTAATTAGAACCCAGCTTTATCCTCCTATTCAGAGGCATTGACTTGATGATAGATATAAGTAGCTTTCTGATGGTTCTTGTCTATACACTATTTCCTTGAAATTTGTTAGCAAGAAACCTTGGCTTCTTGAATTAATGTCCATAATGGAGGTTGGCAAAGCTAACTTTCTCTTCTCCATTTTTTTCTTCTTTTTTTTTCAAATCCAGTCTAATCAAATCGTCATGTTGTAACATATATGATTTATATCTGTACAGTGAATTCTTTTTTTATAGAGTTTCTAATTTTTTATGTATAAATTATATTTTTAATACATATTCTGATGTAAAACAATATTTTGTAATCTGATCTAAAAAAATATTTTACTGATAAAATTAAACTTTGATTTTGACTCACCCTCTTCGGGTGCATAGATATCCATTATAACACAATTTGAATTTGTTAGCACCCATCGAAAGCAAAGTTTTACAGGACTGTTTTGAAATATGCTGAAAGAGGATTGATGTGATATATATAAATATTCATAAGACCGAGTTGGTACAGTGGTTTAAGGATAATGATTAATAATTTTATTCAAATTGTTAAAAAATAAGAGTTTAATAAATTTATTTATTTATTTTAAAATCGTTACAAATTAAATATTTGATAAAATTTTTTATTTAACATTTGAAACTAACAAATAATTCTTATGATTCAAACTATTAGTAGGTTGAAAATTTTATTTAAGATAATTTTTTGAGTCAAATTACTAGTAAATTAAATTTTTTAATTTTATTGACAAATTTATTTAGTTTAATTTGTTACCACAAATTTTAATTAATACTTATTTAATTAATTTGAA